CCCCTATGATGTAGTTTTTTTTAGCAATTACTACCCCGGTTAGGGGCTTGTGTATAAAAAAATTGAATCGTAGGGGGTATTTTGCTAATAAAATGACATATGGTCGTTTTCTAGCAATTCGATGTAATATAGGGATACTAATTGCAATAAACCCTCATTCTTATATTTTGTGTGATGCACTGAATATTTTATTTTATTAAATATATATTTACATAGAAGTAAAATCAAATGTTGAATATAATATGATTCAATTTTAATTACAAACTTAAATAAACTAAAAGTTTAGGAGATGTATAGAATGAAACTGTACACGGTAGCGGTGAAAATCGAATTGGAATTAACATTTTAGGAAGAAAAAAAAATCAATTTTTTTCAAAATAATGAATAAAACTAATTCAAGTTATGTTCCCAAAAAAAATTGGAATCCCGGTAATTGGGATGAAGAAATTGGATTGAAATCGACGGAAATTGGAAGATTCAATTTTGTTAGTCACCTTATATATAAATTCTAAAATGCATTATAATATTTATTATATAAATATAAATATCCACAGAACAAAAATGGGAAATTAAGAGAGCGTTCCGGTAAGCTTATAAACTGTTTTTTTTTTTTTTTTTAATCTTACAATAAAAAATACGTTGTTGGAGAGTAAATAAGATTTTTTTAATAAATAAAATATCTTATAAAATGATTATTCAAATATTTTAAAAATTAATTCTATAAAACAAATAATAGTTTATGGACTCTTAAAATAGCTTATCAAATGTAACAACTTAAATAAATTTAGTAACGCACCCAAGAGCGAACAGGAAATTAATTCGCCCCTAATTTGGTAAGATGAGTACAATAATAATACTAGTTGACGGTCTATGAAGCAAAATTTCATTTTCTCATCAAAAAAAAAAAAGCAAAATTTCATTAAAAAAAAATCATTTTTAATTACAAACCAATAATTAATTCCTACAAAAGTTATTTATTTATTTTTATTTTCATTTTCATTTTTCGTCTCCCTTCTTTCTTCTTCGTCTTCACTCTCAGTCTCGACGCCTGCCAAAATTGGGGCTGCTTTCTCTCTCTCTCTCTCTCTCGCCGAGGTAATTATTTTTTATTTTTTATTTAATATCCGCTGTTAATTTTTAATTTTTTGTGTTTTATTATTATTAAGTTATGCGAAACCCTATACTTGTGTATCTAACTGTAATCATCACTTGATGTTAAGAACTAGGTTCTGAATCAGTGCCTCACTGTCGTGATTTAGGTGATTAAATTAAAAAAAAAACAAGGGTTGTTTTAATTCTGCTAAAAGATTTGCCTTTTTTTTTTATTATTCACGGCTATTTATTAATTTTTTGCACATTATATATATATATATATATATATATATATATATATATATATATATATATATATATATATAATTTTTGAGTTCGATCTGTAGAGAATCAGAAATCGAGGTTCAAAAGATACACATTTCCGTAGAGTAAGAGTCATTGTGATTGTAGATTATAATTCGGTTTACGTTTCGACTGTAGACTACAATCGGTAGATATACGAGTAGTTTGCGTTATGTGAGATTCTTGATAAGGTGTCAACGCTCGTTTTCTTCGAGTAATACTCGAATGTGAAACTTTTTGTCTTCCAAGACTTGTAAGATTTTGGTGTTCTCTATCATCTTCAAAGAGACTTTAAACGAGAATGTTCGTTTGAGTTATTATCGATAGACGATTATCTAGTGCGTGACAAGATCTACTAGTGATTATTTGTAATGCCTAATATAATCGAGTTCAATAAATGCAACTTCGTTGGATTAAATATCGAAGTTAATACACGGAAATTGCAATTGATTTGAGTTACTATGCATCCGTTAAGTTAAACACGGAAATCTCATTTTATGGTCAACTATGTTATCCGTAGATTCCTCAATCTGCTCTGTTATTAAAATTTCTTTGGGTGGTGCTCGTAATTATGCAAACAATGCGGGGGTTTTTTCGTAATTAGGCCTTACCTCAGGGGGTCCTTGTAATTTGCCCTAAAAATATTTGTTGTTTTTAAAACGGTGGCATTTTGCATTGTTGGACATATGGATTTTTCTCTCGCTTTTGCCTTTCTTGTTGGACGATTAATTTCAATCTCTTGTTAATTAATTTCTTAGGCCTCGTTTGGTTGGGGAGATTAGCCTTTATTAACTAAATAATTGGACTTTGTTTGATGTTTGGTATCCACAATAACTTGTCGGGTCGACCCGCAAATATTATATTTTAATGGCTTATCTTGCCTTATAGGCATGTTTTTTTCTTAGAGGGTCTAATAAAATAATTGGCTTTTCGTTAGATTATTTAATCTTATCTTTACCAATTTTATCTCGTCAACCAAACGAGGCCTTATTGTACTAACAACTAGGTTCAGAAGTTGTTTCCGTTACAATTAACTTAAATGTAACATTAGTTGTCTTACTTTTGCCCGAATTCTTGATTCTTGAAGTGTATGGTAATTTGGTAATTTGTTTACACAATACTCTTCAAGCACGTATTGAATTTGAAATTTTCGACGAGCCCTTTAATCTTTATATTATATTCTTGATCTATTTTCCTGCTTTAAATGCTTCTTAAATGGAATAACAGGGTGTTTCTTAAATATTATTTCGTTTTCGACAACGACGAACAGGTTATATGGCGCACTTAGAATCTGCAAATACGGACGTGAATCTGTATAACGGTACATCGAGAAAGCCTCGTATTCTGCTAGCTGCAAGTGGAAGTGTGGCTGCAATAAAATTTGCTAATCTTTGCCATTGTTTCTCGGAATGGGCAGAAGTGAAAGCAGTTGCCACAAAGGCGTCACTTCATTTTGTCGACAGAGCCTCACTTCCGAAAGACGTAACTCTTTATACAGACGAGGATGAATGGTCCACTTGGAAGAAAATCGGCGATGGTGTGCTACACATTGAGCTAAGACGATGGGCCGATATTATGGTCATTGCACCCTTATCAGCTAACACACTCGGCAAGGTAATATAAATCCGTAAGTATAAATTTACCCTGTTAGCATCGTTTCTTAGTAGGCGTGGAAATTGAAACGATTCGGGAATTTCTTAATTTTTGGAAATAATTTTCTATCCCGATTTTCAAAATTTTGATTTCCGATATATTTTTTTTTTCAAAAATATTGGGATGGGAATCGAAACTATATATATAAAGTAATTGGGAATTTCTATTTACGATTCAATTTCAATTTCCAATTTTTTTTTTTTGCTTTCGAAAAAGTGTATTTATTATATCAATATTATTACATAATTTGATGACATATTTGAATTATAATCTATGTAAATAAATAGTCATGATTCTATGTATTCAACGTGTATCATAAAGATGAAATTTTACATTTATAAATTTTATACAATTCGAGTAGATATTGATAGTTTTTTTTAGAAGTTGGAATCTTGATTTTTTTAGTAAGATGATTTCCAAATTTACCCATATCGGAATGAACTTTTAGTTTCCCAAGTTTCCGGAATTGGAATCGGATTCGATTTTCAAATCTACCCAAATCGGATGGCTTTTTAGTTTCCCAAATTTCCGGAATCAGAATCGGAATCAATTTTTCACTTCCGAAAAAAAATTGAATTTTTTCCCAAACTAAGTTCAGTCAACCCCTATTTCTTAGAGTAGGTACAAATTTTAATTTTAAAATAATTGACCTAACTCGATTTCATATCTATTTTATTTGAGTAGATTGCGGGTGGATTGTGCGACAACTTGTTGAGCTGCATTATCCGAGCATGGGACTACACTAAACCTATGTTTGTGGCACCGGCAATGAATACACTAATGTGGAACAATCCATTTACGGAGCGGCATTTAATGGCGATTGATGACCTTGGAATCTCTCTTATCCCACCCGTTAAAAAGAGGTTGGCGTGTGGAGATTACGGAAACGGGGCAATGGCCGAGCCTTCACTTATATATTCCACCGTAAGACTTTTCTTCGAGACTCGAGAAAAATCGAACGGTGGCAATATTTAGTGATGGTGATTAATTTATTGCAACTTGCCCCTCTTTGTGGTTTAGATGGTGTGTATCGTGTTTTCAAACGGTGTTTAGGTGTCGAAGGAAGAATTTGTGTAAATTTTAATCTATTTATGTTTTCTAATTGTGAAATGAATACTTTGTTGTAAGAATTTGTGTGTGTGTATGTGTGTGTGTATACATACATGTATGTATACGCATATACTTAGTAGTGCATTTTTATTCAATGAACTTAAAAAATGTTTGAGTTAGTTCACTTCTCCTCAATTTGTTTTTGAAATTAGTTCGCGAAGACTTAACGGATACTACTCGGTTGAATAGTGGTCGCTACGAATGACAATTTTCACAGCCGGTGCTTCAAATAATGAAGTTGAGGCATGCCCGTGCAAAAACAAATCTTTGGGGGGGCAAAGTGCAAACCGCACTAAGTTCTGCTATTAACCCAAATTTAAAATGCGTAATAATATTGGCAAAAAAAAAAACAGCGAAAAAATATCGAAAACTTCGGAAACTAAAATCGGCAAAAGTGGAAAACTCTAGGAGAAAATAAGTATTCTTGAACTAATGCGCGCCAAACTACTTTATGCGAAATAAAACCAAACAAAGTAAAACACTCGATTTCTAGTACAGTTATTATATTTTTATTTGTGTAAATCTTGTAGAGCTTTACGAAATTGAGTTCGAGTTTGACTTGATTAGCAATCGATTTGAGCACATGAATCGAGATTGAATAATTTAATCTTTATCATATATTTTGTTCTTATTTTTAAATCAAGCTCGAGTTCACACCGAGATTCATATCTTGTCGAATGAATGAATGGGAAAGGAAAAAAAAGTGTTCAAGTTAATTCTACGCTCATTATGTTCATCAATTGAGCCTCTAAATGAGTTTTAACTAACGATCTCGAATAAAACAGTAAGTAGTTTATATATGTTTATTATTTCGAAGAAAGCGTCATTTAATTATTTAGTAACATTAATAATAATAACAATTGATAAAAATAAATAAATAATAATAAAAAAAGGTTAAATAGCACTTAACACAGAGCTTTTGCAGATGACCTCATGTGCTTGTAATATCAATACATAACCCCCTTGTGGTTGATGGGGTACTTCCGTCAAATACAATCACGTGTGTCAAACTTCAAGGGGGTCATCTGCAAAAATAAAAGAGGAAATGAAAGCACAAGGGGATCATCTGCAAAAAAATACTTTAACGTTTGACACAGACGATTAAACTTGACGGAAAAATTAATGAAAGCTAAGTTACCCGATCAACCACAATGGGGTTATGTGCTGATATTAAAAGAATAAGGGAGTCGTCTGCAAAAGCTTGTAACAAGGGGATTTAATTGCTATTTACCAAACAAAAATTGTATTTGTGTTTGGTGTTTGGATTGAAAAATGGGGACCACGTGAAATCCAATCCCAATAAATTAATAATTATTTATATTTGTTGTACCTTTTTGTCTCTGAGAAGTCGTCTCTGCAGGTCATGAGAGACAACAATCATCACGTTATTATTCTATTCTCATCACTCTGTTTTTTTACTTGCAAAAATTCACACAACTCAACTCTTAATTATATTTAGGGTAAATTGCAATTAACCCCTTGTAGTTTGAGTTTTGTGCATATCATGCCCTCGTACTTTCAATACAAGCACATGACTTCCTTATATATAAGTGCATAACTAGGAAGTTTATGTACTCATATTAAAATACAAGGGGCTAATGTGCTGTATTAAAAATACAAAAAAAATATATCCACAAAGTTCAAACTACAGGGGAGTTAAATGTTATTTACCCTTATAATTACAATATTAAACATATCCCAAAAATATTATACTCGCATAAGAATGTCAGTAAATGTGTCTTCACTTTAAGAAAAACACAATAAAATGACTGGAATAACTTTAATCATTTAATAATGTGATAATAGATAGTTATAATACTTAGAGTTGAATTAATTCGGTTAAAACAGAAGAAAAAATTATGCAATTAATGTTTTATTGAAAATCTAAATTGACAGATGATATGGAATAAAAGTATTTTTAAAAAAGACAATAGTTATGCAATAAATGAATTAAATATTCATGGATTCTAAGAAAAAAAACCTATAAAGTGACTAAAATATCACTCTCCATTATTAATTGTTTCATAGTAATAATTATGACTTCGAATTAAACCCTTGTATGAACATTTCTTCAAGACAATGGCTAAAAAGCTACATTGAGTTACTAATTATTACATAACCAATTAAACAAAATATGCATCCACTACACATATATATTAATTAGCATCAATCTGCATTAAACACATATATATATGAGATCACTATATATAATAATTAGAACAACAATATAATTAATTATAATGCAGTTCTACACATAGATATAATCTTAAAGGGTTTACTTGAAAAGATTTGTGAAGTCTTTGTTTGCCTCCGAAATCGAATTCCAGTCCCACAATCTATCGGCGAAGCCTGCCGGCGGCTGCAACGAGGAGGAGAATTCGGGCAGAACATTATTATTGTTAGGATATTGAGGATTATTATTATTATTTTCAAGATTATTATTATCGTTATTATTGGTTAATAATGAGGCACTTTGTTGTGACGAGTAATTAATATTGACTAGCTTATGAAGATCATCATCAATATTTGGATTAATGGAGGAATTATTACTATCATTATTATTATTATTAGTGTTAAATAATATGGAGGAGGGGCAATTTTGGGATAAACTAGAAGAGTGGCAAATAATTATATTAGCCTCTTCTTCTTGTAGTGAAGTTGGAGATGGTGGTGGGATTGTTGTGTAAGAATTATTAGTAATTTGGTTTTGGAGGGCAATATTATTAATATTTTTGGTATTATTATTATAATTTGTGCTTGTTATTTTGGCCTTTTTCCCATCTTTTTGTTGTGATTTTGATCTTCCGATTTCTCGATTTTCGGGTTCGTTTTGATTTCGTGTTTGTTGTGATGAAGATGTTGATGGGAGAGAGTGATGGTCTTCGACTCCGGCTCTTTTGTAGACTCGGCAAAGAGAAATTTCGGCCTGAAAAAATCATTAAATAGGAGAAATCAAAGTCACTGCAAGAAATAATCTTTCCCTGTGACAACATATGTTTTCATATGCATGGTCAGACACAAAAAAATACAATGTTGTCACTAATAGGGGTATCACTAATTCTATCTAGTGACAACAAAAAAGGATTAACTGATAACAAAATTAGTGAGATATTAGTGACGACATGCACTCTTTTTTAGTGACAACTTTTGATATTGTATATCACAGTTAGGGTATCAATACTAATAATGCCATTTTCTCTTGCAGTGAGTGAAGAATTCGATGAAAATAATGAGGGACAAGAATAAATTAAAGATATTTACATTTACCCACAATTCACATTTATAATGAGGTGTTTGAGGATGTTTTATTTAATTTAATTAATGATATGAAAATAGTTGTGAATCTTTTTAATTAAATTCATGCATGTCTTCTGCTTTTTTAAGGTGAACATTTAACAACTTCCCATCAATATTTATCATGATTTTGTTTGTTTATTATCTATCTCCTTCACCATATATTTATATGTATTTAAGCCAATTAATCAAAGATAAAGATAATTAACCTAAAATATAATTTTTTTTTTTTTGACATTTTTTCAGTACTATTGGGGACTTGGGGTTTTCTATGAAATCAAAAATTTTAAAAAGGATAATGCAAAAAAGAATAATCCTAATTGTGAGGTTCATATCATTGATGATTCTTGATTTACATCTCTAAAGTGGGAGTGAATATATATATATATATATATATATATATATATATATATATATATATATATATTAATTAATGAGGTATTTCGTATATACCTTTTGTAGGCGTTCGGTTTCGTGGAGAGGCAAGCGATACTCGTTCATGATCCAACTAGTACGGATACCTTTGGGGGCTTTACCGGAGTAGAAAACTAGGGTTTTCTTGAGCCCGATGGAACGGAGATTCTCACTTCGGATGGATCTATCGGCACCCGTTGCTTTCCAATAACCGGAAGTAGTCACACGGTTCGGACGATCTCCGTTTCTGTACTTTCTATCTCTCGGCACATAAAAGTACCATTCCTTCTCCCCTATTGCTGCCAAACCTTTTTTTCCATTTCATTTTCACAAGGGAGAAAAAATAATATGAGTCATGTGTGTATATATACTTAAATCCACACACACACACATAAGTACAAGAAAAAGAACTATATTCAAGAAAATGATGATTAACTTGTATCTATACATACTTAAAAAAAAAAATTCACACACACACGTACAAGAACAGGAAAAAGAATTATTTCAAGAAAATGATGATTAACTTGTATCTATATATGTGCTCTTGTGAAACAATCTTGGATATATTATTTGATATGATATGAAGAGATTAAATTAGAAATTAGAAGAGATTAATTTATTTAAAATAAATAAAAGAAATTAGAAAAATGGAAGTATATAAAAGTACCATTCTTTCTTCCCTTTTGCAGCTAACCCTGATTTTTCACACACACAACACACACACAACTAATTAAATAGACCAAAAGGGTTGTTTAGAAAGAAGAGAGAAAAGACAAATATATATAGACATATACATATACATACACATATATATATAGATATATACCAGGAAGTTCCCAAGGGTCATAGCGATAAAGGTCCAAGAAAGTGATGAGTTCGACGTTGAAGCGCTTGCCCTCGACTTTACGGCGAAGGTAGAATTCGACGAGCTCTTCCTCCGTCGGATGGAATCGAAATCCGGGCATCACCATCTCCTCGTCATGATCATTTTCTTGTTCTTGATCATCTTGCTTATTATTAATATCATTATTATTATTATGGACGCTTATATTAATATTACTGCTAATTATGCTGTTGCTTTCTTCTTGATTGTTCTTGTTGTTGTTGTTGTTGTTCATGGCTGAATGATGATGCAATTGCCATACACAACTCTCTATGGCAAAATCAAAATTCAATTCATAAACCACACAACCCTCAATTATTTTTGATTGAATTGAAAGCTATAGTAATTATATATATACACACACACACCCTTGTATTGTAATGCTTTTTTGATATAATACACACACATGGAATGGATTTTATTTTGAGGGTTTTGAGAGGTGGAGTAGGGTAGGGTGGGAGTGGGGGTGGTAGGGGATAAGAGAGAGAGAGAGAGAGAGAGAGAGAGAGAGAGAGAGAGAGAGAGAGAGAGAGAGAGAGAGATGACAATCAAGAATTTGCATAGCCCAACAAAGTAGAAACTTATAGTCTCTCTCTCTAGAATTGATGGTGGGAGAGGTGATATAGGCAAAAGAAAGATCCACATAATAAATTAAGAGGGCCTACGAATTAAGACGGGGTTTAATTAAAGAAAGGGACACCACAGGTTATTAGGGCAGGGTGGCCAACTAGTCACTAGTCACTGCGGTGGGTTTGGAGGCTTCTTTTATTTCACCATTAATTATTTATTTATTATTTATTATTAATAATTACTTTTTCGAGATTTTTTGTGGATTGTTTTTTTTTTTTTTTTTTTTTTTGTGTGTGAAAAATGAATATTAAAGTATATATGACATCATCAAATCATCATTTTTTTAATGGGGGCGATTTGAGAAAAGGTCTTGATCATATTCATTTTTATTTGAGGTAATGACAATATAGTTTTTAGGTCCGATTAAAATCGGACAGATCGGATTGGAATTAGCTCTTTCGGAAATATTCAGATTTTTTTTAAGTGAAAAACTAGTTTCATTCCGTTCCAAAAAAAAGGGGAAAAATCGGAAATTGGAACGAAAAAACTTGTTCCAAAATCGGAAAATTTCGAATCGTAATCAACGGGATTCGGAATTTCTAATTTAATTACTTTTTTCGTGATTTTTTTTGTGGATTGTTTTCATGTAATGACAACATATATTCTTTAGGTACGAGTACGATTAAAGTTAATCGTGATGTACATTTTTATTAGTTAAAAGTCTCTGACCTTCTCAAATACTGTGAATCACCAACTTTTCTATCTAAGTTGGGTCAACCAATTAAATCAGTTGACTCGAGAGAGGAGGGAGATAATTCAGTGAAATCAGTTTACTCAACTCATTTGTGAGCTGAAAAAATATATGTAATTGATTAGCTAAAAATAATTAAAACATACAAAGGGACTAATTAACTCAAATGTTAGTGAATTTGGCTCCAAGAAGTAAGAACAATGTGTGGAAAAGTGTGTTTCTGTGTCTAACAGAAAACAGAAACTTAATCAAACAATTGAACACCAAATTTATTGAGGTTCGACTCAATGAGAGCCTGCATCCACCAAAAGATCCAAGAACAATAATATATCGATGATCCGATTCCATGATGTAAGGTACGCTTCCGTGTTTATATTTCTGTATAATTCTCGTTGATTCAAGCATGTTGATGCTTGGGAATTCGTATGTATGTACGATAAATTTCTTGCAAAACTATTATTAGTTACATATATAATGTTTTAAGAATTACAAATTTATAACCTTATAATCGTTATTTTTTTCTAATTTTTTTTATATTACATTTTCTTTTCTTTTCTTTTCTTTTTGTTCTCGGGTCATTGCAGTTGACCATTGGTAAATAAGGGTTAATTTCACATTGACACTCTTTTAGATAGTGAAATTACGAGCAACTACCTTATCAAATGAAAAATTACTCAAATCTCTCTTCTTGGATAGTTCGGTTTACACCGTTATCCCCATTGTCCGATTTTTGGATAAAAATCGACGACCTCATAAAAAGAAAACGTAGTGAACGCCCTATCTTACCCATTCGACTTATTTTTGAAAGTTTATGAATACTGAAATACCCGTATAATTTATTTCAGTCGAAAAGAGGTATCAAAGTAATAAAATAAATTTATTAAAGGCATGCAATTAAGATGAACTTTAGAAGGTGGTTATATTGTACAGTTAAACCTCTATAAATTAATACAGTTTGGACCATCAAAATTTCATTAATTTAGCGAAATATTAACTTATCGATAAATTAATAATTATTAATTTATACATAAATTAATAACTTATTAATTTATGAAATTACTTTTATTATTATTTTCAATAAATATTGTTTTTTGTTTTTTTGTTTTTTTTTTACGTGTATATTATTCATTGTACCATTAGTTCAATGCACTATAGAGCCCGTTTCACTAGCGGAAACTCTTAAAGCAGCAATGGTATAGAACGATTTTATGTTGAGTTATGAGAAAACTATACCGAAAGTTCTAACCATGTTAAGAAAAATGAGGGACAAGATTGATGATAATGTGAACTTCAACAAGAAACAAGCGACAATTAAATTATATTGTATTAAGCTTTCATAGATCTATAAAATATGTAATGTACCATGTAATTTCAGAATTATTTTTATGCATTATTAATTTATATATTATATGGGACTTCTTAAAATTTTCGAATGTGTACTATCTTATAAATTTATCGAATTATTAATTTAGCACGTTGTCCCCGAGTCGGAGCCGAGAAAATTTATCATTTAAGCGAGGTTATTAATTTATCGGGTATTAACTTATCGAGGTTCTACTGTAGTATAATTTTCTTATTATTTGAAATTATATTTGTTAAACAAGTAAAATAGGCATCCGTAGAGAAATGTGGTAATTGTAACAACTAAAATGATCATAATATTACATAGGGTTGTGCGTTGGTTGGTTTGGTTAAAAACCAGCCCTAAAACCAACCCAACCCATCCAACCAACTTTGGTCAATATTGGAAAACGTTATCGACCCAATTTACATGGGTTGGGTGATGGTTGAAAACCAATTTAGTGGGTCGGTTGATGGTTTGGTTGATGGGTCATCCATCTAAATATTTTTTAATTTTATTTAATATTTTATTAGTTGTTACAACACTATATATTTTATAAATTAAATATGATTAGTTCAACAATATTCAAAATAAAAAAATTCAAAACATTACGGGGCATTTCTATTGCAATTAAACATAAATAGTTCAACAAATAATAATCGTCCAAATATTTAGACTATATGTCTTAAAATTAAAATAGTTCAAAATAGATAATTATGTTAGATTTATTGTTTTTAGGATTTTGGTCAATATTAAACAATTTAATAAATGCGATATAAATAGAAATTTGAAATTAAAAATATTAAATATTTAAATAAAATTAATAAATAATAAATTAATAAATAAAGTTGGTTGGCCGATATTACCCGACTAACCAACTTTATAGCATATTAGAAACCATTATCGACCCAACTATATATGGGTTGGTTGAGATTATCGACCCAACTTAAATGGGTCGGTTGATGGTTGATTATCCATCACAAATTATGGGTCGAAAATGGGTTGGTTGGTGGTTAAAACCGACCCGTGCACAGCCCATTATTACATATATATCACTAGATCTCAAGAGTCTCTAATTTCAGTAGAGAAATATATATATCTATATTTAATTATTTATACTACTTATAAAAGGAGTAATTAGTAATGTAATTAGTGATTTCTTTCATTTTTTGTTCTTCAAAAAATATCCCTTACATATGCAAGCTTCGAGACAAAGTAATCTTGATTAATATATTGAATCTTATTTCTCCAAACTTAATTTGATATCCTCTAGTGCTTTAACTTACCATAACTCATAAATTTATAACAAATCAAGATTTACTCTCACTGCATAAATTGTCAAACCAACTTCGAGCTTCTCTCATTATCTCACTCTCCATTGCGGCTTTTGAGATCCTACACCGGGTGAAATACTGATACGATATATTATTTAATATATCGTTTAATTATTAGTTAGTTAGTATTTTATTATTAATTAATTAGAATAGTTTATTTATAAGGAATATAGCCTACGTCTGTTTAGGGTTATCATATATATTAAGTATTTAATTAGTACAGGTAATTATCTTTCCTAGTTAAATTAGGATTCTAGGGTTTTATTCTCTTTAAATAGTCGTATTGTGCTAGGGTTTTATTATGCAGAGAAATAATAAACAAGAGTTTTCTTACGTTCAGTAAAGAAATCTTATGATACTCGAGAGATCGTATCAATTGGTATCAGAGCGAAGTTGCGATTAACACCAACGCTTCGTTAGCAAGGCAGCGATTACATCAAAGCTACGCTGGAGCAAAGTTGAGATCACATCAAAACTTGTGAAAATCATGATGTCAGAAA